GACAGAGAGCATGAGAGGGAGGAGGGTCAGAGGGAGAAGCAGACTCCCTGCTGAGCAGGGAGCCCGATGCGGGACTCAATCCCGGGACTCCAGGATCATGACCTGAGCCGAAGGCAGTCGCTTAACCAACTGAGCCACTCAGGCGCCCCAAGACTTGCTCAGTATTTTGGGTAGCTAACCTCAGCCCATTCCCAAGCAGACCGCTCTTGGAGATTGGCCCGAGACGGACTTTTACCAGCTTGTGGCATAAGGTGCAGAGGCAGGTACTTCTGCGTTCTCAGGGTCCCCAGTGAGTCAAGAGCATTTGAACTTGAACTTGCTGTGGGTCAGGAAGAGGAAGATCAAGAGTTGAGCTCTCTGTCAGGCCACTCAGCCCTCTCTGTTTTCCCCAAAAATCTGTTCACACAAATCTAATTGACCTCCTCTCAATCTCAAGCTGTGATTATTCTTTCAGGTTTTGTTCCGATTTCAAAACTCAGGAATCTCATTTTATGTCTGTCCCTCATTAGTCCAGATGGACTTGCACTTGGCCAGTTTTCTCATATACTCCCATCCCCACCCCTGGCCATGCTCCTTGTTTGGTCAGTTTTTCCAAGTGGGGATCCAGTTGAATGGGTTCTTCTTCAGTCCTGCCTCAGAAGACCTCTCTAGAACCCCTGGACACATGAGCACCCAGGAAGAAAGTAGGGCCTCACACTGTGCATCACTGCCCATTCGTCTGCAGACAGTGCCTCTGATCCCGTCTCTCTGCCTCTGCAACCCCTCTGCCTTCTTCTTACCTCTTCTCTGCTTCAACCGTATAGATCCAAGGTGGCCCCAGTTGGCTTGGAAGCCATTTGACACAGACACATGAACACATGACAGATTATGCTTTGCCATTCCACAGGAACTGTGTCTGGTCTTGGCCTGTTACATGGCCCAGGGCCAACAGAGGCCACATTCTCATCCTCAGGATCCCAGCATCTTATTCTCCTTTCACTCCATTTTCAGTCTGCGCTTTCCTCCGGGCCCAAGGTTTTCTAGCCTCCAGCCACTGTTTCTCCTTGGCCCACATGCACTTTCTGTATAAACTACATGGTGAGGACAGAAACCCCTCTCGGCTGCATTTCATTGTATCATTTTACATTCATACTTTTGTTGAGTGTTCATGACAGTCTGGATTTGGTTAAGAAAGGTGAAGAATGGGGATATGTCACCTGTACCCCTAGAGTCCTGGAGAGGCTGTCTGCCCCACAGCACCCCAACATGGTCCATGTGTATGTTGGGTTACTTTGCAGGTCTCCGGCCTCGTTCGAACCCCTTTTCCTATTGGCAGGTAGTGCGTGCCTGGCCTATTCCCTCCCATTTGTCACCTTGTGTCCACTGCAGGGCTGGACTCAGGAGCTCCTATATTGCGAGCTGTTTTTCAGGAAGAGCTGAATTTATACTATCACTTTGGAGAGTAGCTTGGTAACTTCTGCTGAAACGGAAAATGCACATCCCATGCCACCCAGTGGATCCCTCCTTCGTGGAACCTTCCCACACGTGTGGAAAGAGATGCGCGGGATGTCCAAAGCAGTGTTGTTATGCCGGTGAAACACAGGAGATGATCTAAATGGTTATAACTAGTAGAATGGAAAGAATAAGACATCTTTTAATAGGATGGCATATTACTCAGCAGACAAAAGAAATGAAAGAGCCGTAAGCTTCAGTGATGAATGTCAAAGGCGTGGATATCAAATACATGATTTGGATGGAAAACAGCGAGTTCCAGAGTGACTTGTACTGTGTGATATTTATGGGCATTAACAAAAAACCAAGAGAATACTAAACCGTGTTTGTGGACTCAGGTACAAAGTACGTTTTGTGGACCAGAAAGATACACTTAAATTCCAAAATAATGCTGCTTCTGGCAAAGAAGAGAAGGAATGCAGTGAGGGAGAAACATAACAGGAACATCAACTTAAAAAATCTGAAGAAATACTGGGGCGCCTGGCTGTCTCAGTCAGTGGAGCTTGCAACTCTTGAGCTTGGGGTTGTGGGTTCAAGCCCCACATTGGGTATAGAGAGCACTTAAAAATAAAATGTAAAAACATCTCAAGAAATATGACTGTTAACAAGCATTCCTTCTGCATGATGGGTATATGCATATTTGTTAGGATCCAGCCCTGCGTTGGACTCTCTACTTAGTGGGGTGTCTGCCTCTCCCTCTGTCTCTGCCCCGCCCCCTGCTTGTGCTCTCTCTCCCTCTCTCAAATAAATAAATAAAATCTTTTAAAAAATCCTAGGAAGAAGAATGGCATGGTTTTACATTTTTGCAGACCTCTTTAGGCCTCTAGCTTAATAGAAGGCAACTATATTCTCATAGCTGCTTTGCATTCAGTGTGTTGTAATATCACATGTTAGATAGCTTCTGAAAAACTCCACTGTGCATTCATTCGTGGAAGGATGTGAGTGAAAAAAGCAATTAGCATCTTAATATCATTATGAAAATAGTCTTGAGCTCTCAGATCCCAGAAAAGTTCTCTGGGTCCCCAGGGGTCTACAGACCATACTTTGAAAAGTGCTCTCTAGGGCCACCTGGGTGGCTCAATTGGTAAGTGTCTGACTCTTCTTTTCAGCTCAGGTCATGATCCCAGGGTCCTGGGATTGAGCCCTGTGACGGGCTCTGTGCTCAGCGTGGAGTCTGCTTGGGATTCTCTCTCTCCCTCTGCCCCTTCCCTTCCCCGCACTTGAGCTGTCTCTCTCTAAAATAAATAAAATCTTAAAAAAAAAAAAAAAAGGAAAGTGCTCTCTAGAACTCACATAGTTGAATGCCATCCGGACGTCAAGGGAAGAAGGAAGAAAGGGAGGGAGGAATCAACTAAGGAACTCTTAACATATTAAAGTATCTAAAATGACCACTAAAATAATAAAAACAGAGCTGATGATTTCCAATTCAGTAATACGAGAAATGAAATAAAACAACTTAATCCCAAAGGAAAGCAAGAGGAGAGAAAAAGGAAATATTAGAAGGTGAGGAAAATAGCACAAAATAAGATGGTAGGTGTTTTGGTTTTTTTTAAATGTATGTGTTCACTGTGATAATTCATCTGGCTGCTCATTATTAGGCCATTTGCGGTATGCATGTAGATTTCAGTATGTGGGTGTACTTCCTGGAAGTGTTTAAAATAAGATAACAGAAATAAATGCAAACATATTGGAAATTATTATTATATAAATATAAATGAATAAAAATGGCATAGGTAGAAAACAAATACTGTTGAATTGTCAGACCAGATTATAAAACCTCCAGCTGCTATGTATCATTGCTTATAAAAGATGCATCTGAAACCTAAGGATATAGGAAGCTGGAAAGTAAAAGGAGGGACCGAGATGTGCTGGGCAAATACTAACCCCAAAAACAAGTTGGCATGGCTATATTAATCTCAGACAAAATTTTAAGGCAAAAGGAATGACAACCATTTTATTTCACCAGGAAGACTGAACTATGGGGAGAAACAGACAAGTTCATTGTCACAGGAAGAGCATGTAACACACCTCTTCATGTAACTGATAGATCAAATAGACAAAAAGTAAATAAAGGTTATAAAGATTTGAACATCACAGATCAACAGGTTTGATCTAAGGCGTTCAGAGACCACATGTACCCGACGGCTGTAGAATCTATGTTCTTTTCACAGATGGAACATAAGGTTGACTATATTCCAGGAATACAGCAATTCTCAACAAATTTCAAAGAGCTGGAACCATTCACACCATATTTTCTGGCCGCAGTGCCATTTAGTTAGAACAGAGTAACAAAAGGATCAAGAAAAAAAAAATTGTATGCTTGAAAATAAAGAAAATTTCTAAACTTGAGTCAAAGGAAAAATGATCATATGGAAATTGGAGCCTGTTTAGAACTTAAAATAATGAAAAATTATGCAAATCCAAACTGGTAGCATCCCACTGAAGCTGCCCATCGAGGGAGATTTATATTTATAGTCTCACATCCTTCGGTAGCAGAGAACAAAGGCTAAAAATGGATGAATGTTAACTTTAAAAAGTTGGAAAAGGAGCAACTGAAAAGACTCAAAAAAGTACAAGGAAGGAAACAAACCAACATTAATGAAATAGAAGGTGTGTATAAATGTCACAGAAGGCCCTTGGTTTTTGAAAAGACCAAGTTACAGACATCTGGCAAGATTAATGACAGAAAAAGAAGATACAAATACACAATGTTGGGGATTGAAAATAGGATGTAACCACTAAAAATATCCTGACCCAAGTTTCTTCACACCAGCACTGACTCTTCCCTCAAGGACTGTTTCTCTTCTGGCCTGTTTCATAGACTTGATTCAGCAACTGCTTTGGTTGGGGGGCTAGTCATGCAGGCTCACATGGCAGGATCCTGTCTGGCTGTCTAGACTCTTTTTTTTTTTTTTTTAAGATTTTATTTATTTGAGAGAGAGTGAGAGAGAGCATAGTGCATAAGTGGGGGGAGGGGCAGAGGAAGAGGGAGAGAATCCCAAGCAGGCTCCACACCCAGTGTGGAACCTGACACGGACCTCAATCCTATGACCCTGAGATCATGACCTGAGCTGAAATCAAGAGTTGGATGCTCAACCGACTGAGCCACCCAGGTGCCCTTTGCTGTCTAGACTCTTGCCTGTGCTGGATGCTCAGACCTAAAGCATGGAACACCTCTGCCCCCGCCTCTGAATCAAGGACAGAACAAAACAGCTCTGCAGTAGTTGAAGGAATGCTACCATCTTACGGATACTGCATGGGGAAAGAATTTCAAGGATCAAAGGGCTGTGGTTTACCATGAAGCAGTGCCAACTACAAATAAGGAAATGTCATAACCCCCAGGAAACAAAACAAGAGCACTCACTCGATGGATAAGTTGGACTTGAGATGTCCACTGCTCTTCTTTGCCTTGTAAGCTAAGCACAGGAGAAGTCACCTCAGTTCCGTTTCATTGTTCCCCTTTTTGAGCCCTCCCTCCTCCCCCAAAATGTAACAGCAAGCTGACAAATTTAGTCTCCTGTGAAGTTGACATTGGCCATACCTAAACTCCCATCTTCTCTCTCTGCAGCTGGCCCTCCAGCTCTTTTCCTGCAGTACACTGACAGTGAGGTACCCCAGCTCTGCAGACTCCGTAGCCTTTTATCAAAGGCTTTGCGCACAGCTGAGGAGGAGAAGTAGAAAATCAAGGGGTCGACACAAGCATTGAAAGCACTGAGCAACACCGCGCACACCCTCCAGGGTTCACTCTTTCTCTGGACAAACCCCACCACATGAGACACATTATAAGGCCCAAAGCAGACCAGGAAGTTGAAGAGGGTCACAGCGGCCAGCCCCATGGCTCTCCAGTGCTTCTGCGTTCCCACTTGGGGTCTGGAGAGCATGATATGCACAAAGCGCCTGTAGCAGAAGATGGTGACCACCATGGGGATGAAGAAGAGGACAAGACACAGCTCTAGTTGCACAGGAAGCAACACGTTCAGCTGATTTGTGGTGAAGTTCTCATAGCAGACAGGGAGGCCTTTGGCATCACCCCCCACGTTGTCAGTTGGTAAGTAGTGGACGATGATCACAATGCTGCAGTGTCCGAAGGACAAGAGGCAGGAGACCAGAGAGGCGATCACTCCATACACGGGCTTGCGGGACAGCTTGTACTGCACGGGGAAAGACACACTGCGGTAGCGCTCGATGCTGATGCCCATCAGGAGCCACGTGCTGTAGTAGATGCTGCTGTAGAAGCCAAAACCTGTAACGGCACAGAGGGCATCCCCCAAGGGCCAGTGGAAGTTGTACGCAGCCTCAGTCATCTTGAAGGGCAGCAGCAGCAGCAGCAGGAGGTCCGCCAGCGTCAGGCTGAGCAGGAGGATGTGGATGGGGGCAGGGTGGGGCTGGCGGACCTGTCCCACAAAGGCCCGTAGCGCCAGGAGGTTGGCAGGGAGACCAATGAGGAAATATATTATGTAGACAGAGAGAAGAACACTGTTTTGGGGATTTGGGGCCATCCTTCCTGAAGAGATGAAAGATGAAGTCAGAATCCTCTCTGACCATGGGTTTCCCAGCCCCAAACCAAGGTGAATCCATTCTCAGCTTCATTGCATCTCCCCTTCCTGCCTTACTGAGTGGTTATGGCTAACCCCTCAAACTGAGTACTTCTGCTTCCTGTATGTCATGGAGAAAGAAGGCCTCCTTGCTTCCCAACCAAATTATTTCTGGAAGGAAGGAAGAAAAGGAAAGAAGGAAGGAAAGAAGGATGAGTCTCCTAAGGATTTTGATGTCTTAGAAGCTCCCACAGGAAAAGTTTTGAGATCCAAGTCCCCACTAGAAAGGGCACTTTGTGAGAGCAGTGACATCCTCTGTCTTGTTCACCACTCTGTCCCTAGGACCTAGAATTGTACCTGATGCATAGTAGGTGCTCAACACTCTCTGTTGATAAATGAATGGCTATATGAACAGAGGGGAAGGAAACAGCTGCTTCATCACCAGGAGGGACTAAACCTGAGACTGTGTCTGAATTTCTCCCAATTTTGCTCAGCCTGCTTCTGGCTCCCTCCTCCCTCCCTCCCTTCCTATTTGCCTCTTTTTTCTTTCTTTTGTCCCTATAAGTCATTGGGCTTGAACACAAGACTCTCAACTTTACCCCTGAAAATGGGAATTTGGTTAGGCCTGAGGGATGAGCAGGTTGAGCCCAAGGTGAGTCCCAGATGCCCAGCTTCTTGATTCCACACTGAGCCATTCCACGAAAACCTGTAGGTTGGGGGGGGGGGG